GGATGTTACCAGCAGCTAAGTGCTCTGTTTGAAAGAAGAACGACTTCTGTCCTTGCAGGCAGCTTCCAAACATGGCAACTGCCTTGTTTTTATGGATTTCTTTCCAAAACGTAACCATGTTGGTCAAAGTGTGCTGGAAGGACAAGGCTAGCGATGCCGGCGCTGCACCTCTGCAGTCAGAAGGTGCCAGAGAGGAGCGTTCCGAGCAATCTGGCGCTCACGCTCCCCACCTCCTCCGTGCGGCCCCGTTTCCTTCATCACAGCGAGGAACGAGAGGGAAACGCACGTCGGGATACAAACACCAGCACTGCCCTCACTTTCTGGGTAACACTGTCCCAGTTCTGCCCAGAGCCACTGCCAACGCTCAGCGCTTGTCCTGAGGACGCTCCCTGAGCTGGGCATCAGGGCTGAGCACCTCCCCAAGGCTGGGCTTAAACGGCAAAGGATGAAACCGCGCTCACGCCTCTCCATCCACCTCAGCTCCGTTGCTCTGCCATCCCCTCGCCTGTTTTTATCTCGCTGTGTCTTGCTCTCTGATGGGCAAAAGCAAATATGTGCTCCACTGCCTGAGGAAGGAGATCAGGGAAGTGCTGAGAGTGAGAAAACCCTGGTGCAGGCAGAGGGAGGGTTAAATACGGAATAAACAGCGGCCACAAACCTGCCTGGGAGTTCAGATGTTGGTATCTCCACCATCTAAAAGTTGAAGAGCTTAAATCAATGCGGAGCGACAGGTCCAGAGCCAGCCTGGCTCAGACGATGAAGCACCAGGAGCCTGGGGTACGAGGGGTCCCCCAGCAGCAGAGGCTGGAGCTGGGAGGTGCTGCAGAACAGAACGCGGTGGGTGGCAGCTCGAATGCAACGGCAGAAAGGAGCAATCCGAGCTCACACCAAGACTTGGAGATGCAGTGCAGGTTTCACATAACCTCCCCTCCTTGCCACTAAATAGCAAGAACTGCCCAGCAAGGCACGCATCAAATCTGGACACTGGAGTCAGCAGAAGAAAACCAGAGAGAGAAAACAAGCAGCAGCTGAGTCCGGCAAAGATAGATGCGAAAATCACCCTCCTGAAACAGAAAACATCACTCCCGAGAGCTTTCACTTTATCCTCAGATCACTAAATATGAACAACAAAGTCCTCCTTTAATACCATTTTTCTTCAAGCCTTTCAGCACTCGCTCAAGGACAAAACACGAGAACTTAGGAATGGATGCAACAAGGGCAAGACAACATAAATACCTCTGGAAAAACCATTGAACGGGAGAGGCTGCCCAGCAAGCGCTACCTCTCACACGGCTTCCCCACACTACAGATGGCACCTGGGCAAGCAAGCCCTTCCCAGAGCACAGGAATGCTGTCCATTTAGATCGTGTCACCACCTCCACACCAGCAGCGCTCTCAGGTGTTGACTTCTGGGGTAAGAAAGAACAACTCTACACACACCAAGTGCATAGACCATGCTTTCTTTAACACTGACGGGCGGGTTTATCCCAAAATGGGTTATTTTAGCCAAAACTGGAAATCATTTTCTCACATTAACCTTCACTCTGGACAGGGAGGCACGGAGAACTGGTGACACGCAGGAGGGACACAGGAGGTGCGGAGCGCAGAGCTGCTGCTCCAGCGCAGAATGAGGCCGCTTCCCCTTTCGCTGCAGAGCAGGGGATGCTATTTTAGTGCTTCCCATCCAAGGTTCGTAGCCTTACCACGCAGAATGAGAACAAACCGCCTTTCTCAGCAGAAAGCATTTTAAGGCAGTTTTAAGGATAAGAATGACGATGATTTTACAGCCTGCGTTATTTAGCATCTCAGATGCTAAGACTACGTCAGAGGAGCTCCCAAGATCCGATTTCTCATCTCCTACTTTGAAGGTGTACTAAAGGTGGTAACTCTAACTGGTTTTGTTGCTCTTTTTTTAGGCACTCTACTTTTAGTCATCAGATAAATGGATTTGAGCCTTATATCACTGTTTAATACCTCGGGAAGAAAACACTACACTGGAAGGACGTCCCTCGGCCTTGGTATCCAGCGCTATTTTAAAACACGCTTCCAACTGTCCCCTTGACGGGTGATCACGTTGACGAAGGAAAAATACCCTTTAACATTGTAAGATTAAAAATAGCTGCAGGAAATTAAAGCGACTAAACTTGACCAGCAGCCGAAGTCCACAGGTCTGGATATGAGACAAGAACCAGGATTCACAGCAGGGAAAGCCAGAGTAGGCGTTAATGAGCTGCAAGACACAGACTTATCAAACCACCTGTCTCAAACTGCAAATGCAACGTTACCAAAGCGCTGCTGTATCTGTCGCCACGACAGAAAATTATTTTCGCTATTTTTGGTATTGAAAACTCAATAGATCTAGACAGAAAAAAACCCTAAGAAGACATAGTGATAAAAGTAGCTCATAAAACACAACCTTATTGTCAGAACCACTGTGGGAAGAGACGCCTGCATCTAAAGTTGCCTGAGGAGCAAACAGGCACCTATAAATGAGGGAAAAGAAAAAATAATCACAACCACCAAGAGGAATATAATTGGCTGCAATTTAAATGATCCTTCGGGAAGGAGTGGTTGGTAGAGGACACCACGCTGCTAGCTTCCCAGTTTGGACAGAACCAGCGCCAACTCTGCGCAAACGGAACGGCTCGAGCTAAAACTCCCCTTCAGGAGTTGCCTTACGCAGCTCAGCTCGCTGCGTACGTTGTCTTCTCCTCACCAGCAACAACAAATGGTCGATAAACTCCAAGCAGAAGGGCTGCTCGAAGACACATCCCAGGTACCAGGTATAACACTTCTTTGGCTGAACGCCTGTTTGCCTGGATGAGGGAGGCACAGCAACTTCCCATAAAACCAACGGAGGGACCGCGGTCCTCCCTGGCACACACATCCAGCACTGGAATAACAGGATCGCTCTGTGCAGGAAAGGCATGCGAGAAGTGATTGGATTTTAAACTGCTGTTAGGTGCCTTATGAACCTTTAAATTAAACAGTTAATTCTAACACACCAGGCAAAGTTTCAACCCAGAGAGCAGTAATGGGAGAATCTGGAAGAAACGACAACCGAGTGGCATCTCCGCCTACAGCAGCCACGCAGAGCTGCGAGGTCTCCAAAAGCCGTGCTATTATGGCCATGACATTTCAGAGACCAGGGAAGTTTTGCATTTCAAGTCAAAAGCAAGTTTGAAATGCTTGAAGATTCACACAGTACAAAGGAATTTACCATTCACAACAGAGAGCACGCTCAAAGGAGTGACGTCCACATTCAGCTGACTATACCACATGCTCAGATCCTTAATTTTCTTACACCCAACTCTCCACTCCGAGGTTTCACATCTTCCATAATACCCTAGATGGGGCAGCTTGCTTTGCCAACCTCCTTTGAGGTGTAAAGGGTTTGGACCTTCACCTTCCCTGCCCCAGGGCCATCTGACTCCTTTTGCATGCTGAGAACATCTGGATCAGGAACTGGCAGAGCACCGACTCAACTGAAGCAAGACCTGAAGCAACTAAAGCAGCAGAAAGCAAACTTAAAACAGGAATCAGGCAAGGTTTTGTGCTCGTATTTACACTGCTGATGCTCGCTGTTTAAATGGAAAAGAAAGTGCCCAAAAGGGTGCTAGATCACAGGGAAAGTGTTCATCACAGCTGGCAGGGCAGACACCAGCGCAAGGTTGAGTCTGAACTCCAGAAAGTACGACGCTGGAGCAGAAAAACCATGATGTGTGTGTGCATGGCAGGGGCAAGGAAAACGTTGAACAGATCTTTTTCAAGTAAACAAGGAGAACCTTTGCTTTTGATTGTGCTCACAATGGGAAGAAAAAAAGATGATTTAAATGTGTGCAACACAATTCAGCATCTCCTCCCTTTACCATTTGCCATCAGCGTTTGATCCAGCATATTTTGACGTTTGAAGAAGGGGTGAACCCCAGTTGCACCTTCTGAAGCAACTGCATGAGGAGCTCGATGGCAAAGAGGTCTGCTGAAGGAAAGCAATTTGTAATCCACTGCCACACTCTCTACACTCCCTCTACTCACTCCCTTCAGCTGAGGTACGACCAAGACAGAGAAGTAAGAAGTGCAGCAGATCTGAGAGGAGCTCCTAAGGAGCTGCTGCAATGCTCTCTCACGATCAGAAGAAAACCCAGTGCTTCTTGCAATACTGCCAGCACCACGGGTGAGACAAACGCTGGGGCTTTTCCTCTAACTTCAAAATGAGCAGCTGAAAATGCAAGAAGTTGTCCCCTCCTGCTGCTCAAGTTCTTGAAACCAACACAACTTTTACATGAACCTTGCCAGACGAGCTTGACCGAGTCACATAAACAAAGGAAAGTGAAAGAAAATCCCCAAAGGGACTGTACACTGTGCAGCTGAAACAGAAGCAGCATTTCAACACTGCTATTAACATTAAACATTAACATCTGTCCTTGCTGGAAATCAGTATTTTTGCTAATAAAAAACCCCCCAACAAATTCCATTCCTTTACAGAAGTGAAACACACATGTTGCTCTTCAATTATATTTATAGAAGGCCATTTAGTTTCAGTGACCCCACGCAATAAAATCCAATCCCAACAACAACCAACTTACCGGCGCTACTGTCACCTCAATGATCTGATGATTAAACCTACTTGGCTCCCTCTTGGGGAAAAATAAATGGTGGGCAAGGGGGGCAGTGACAGGCTGGGCTCTAGCAAAACCTGTCTCTTGGCTGCTGCTCACACCACGCTGTCTCGTGCCAGTGAGGTAGCTGATCGTTCTATTGCTGTGTGCATCGCCGCACCGACCCCTCTACAACGGGATACGCGGAGAGCAGGGTGAAGTCACAGCGTTCATCTGAACTACAGGCAGCAAACACCTGCTGTCCTCTGCCTTACGCTGGAGCCGAGAGGGGAAGGGTGTAGTCCTCAGGGGTTCACCTGAACCCTTCCCATCACCATAAGGTTAGGGCCTCTGGTGGGGTTCACTCCTACACAGGCTTCCCACAGACTTCTGGATGCACGCTCAGCACTGGGCTTCATCCACTGGGGCACAGGGGAGCCTGGCAAGCAAAGGGTTGAAGGAGGGAGACAGCGAAAGCTTGGAAATTAAAGTTTTAAAATATACAAAATGTAACACACTGGAAAAAGTTTAAAAGTTGCAAGACAAGAAAGGAAAAGAAAGAAATATATGGGGTGAGGAGAAAGGACTGAAGACGGTGGCAGAAGACTCCAGCTTGGGGAAATGGAGCAGGTCAGGTCTGGCCAGCACTACTCCCTCTGGTAGCCACTCAGTTCCACCTCGTCCTTGCGGCGACGCTGCGCAAAGAGGGAGCTGAAGGGGTAAAGCTTGGCTTTGGCCTGGAAGCGCTGCCCAGCAATGTCGATCTCGTACTCGCCCTGGTTGATGAAGTCAGTTGTCACCACCAGCTCTTCTCCCGTCTTCTCGTCAAAGTGATGCACGAAGCCAAGGCAGACGTGGCGCTCCAGAGTGTAGCTGTAGGCGCTGCTGGTGGTTTTGCCCACGTAGTGGCCGTTGCGGAAAATGGGCTCCCCCCACCAGGGCCAGAGGTCCATATCTGTGTCATGGTCCTCAAGAATGAACATGGTAAAGCGCTTGTACACACCGTTCTGCTTCTGTTCCAGCAGCGCTTCCTGGCCAACAAACTGCGTTCCCTGCGGAGAAAAGGAAGTGTCAGCTGACGAAAGCAATGTCAACTCTAGCAGCTGTTCAGCAGACAAGCTTACTGACACAGGGTGAATTTATGCTTGGAAATCATGCCCTATCAAGACAGGTTGCTTCTCTGTGCAAGAAGCCCAGCACAGACAGAGGCCTTCCTGTCATGCTTGCTGTTCCAGATGTTAAAAGACACAAAAGTATCTGTGAAGTGGTCCTTCAAAAATTCATTCTAATTTTCACTGTAGTGAAAACCATGTAATCATTCTAGTGTTTGCCATTTTTCTGGTTCCAGAAGCCTACCATGTTTTATAAACCAGAGCGACACTGTAACAACATATGAAATTTGTATCCCTAATCCTCACATTTTTTTCTTGAGCTATTTGATATAAGCATTTGTCTTGGCTCATACAAAGATGCAAGAAGGCAGCAAGCAGGTGACCTGCCACCCCAAGTGGGATACAACTCTATGCTGTTGTGTGTTTTAGTAAAAATAGAGAACTCTTCTGCTTTAGCAAAAACAGAGCACACCTGTTCTTGGCACCTATCCTCATATTTAACTTCATTAAATGCCACTTGGTGCCCAGGCTGGCTTTTGTTTCACCAGACTGGGCAAACAGCTGGGAAAAACATGAACTCTGAGCGTCTGTAAGGTACACAGCACCCTCCAGAAGAGTGAGCAGTGTACACATGAGCAACACAGCATGCTGCACTGATCCCTGGGAATGCTGTCCAGGAAGAAGGAAGACAAAATATTTTTGTGTTTCTTTATATTTTTTATATGTCTTCTTGTACCTTTATGAAGCACAAGAATATAGGTTACAGTTACACACTGGACAGAGCTCCATCAAAAAACCAATACATCTATCTACCTGGACAGGAGTCTTTTCAAGTCCAGTCCTGCTCTCCCACCCACCCCAGTGCAGGAGGGGGCGTACCTTTTCCAGCTTGACCTGGAACTCGCGTCCACACTCCATAGGAGTGGTAAAGGCATCCAGATCCTGGCCCCAGAACGCAAAGAACTTCTCAATGCGCAGGCTGCGGAGCGCGTAATAACCGGCGTTCCGAATCCCGTACTTCTGGCCCATGTTCATCACCTCGTTGTACACGTGAAGGGCGTACTGCGAAGGAAGGGTGAAACACAGAGCTGCAGACAAACCCCAGGAGAGCGTGACAGCACCTGACACCCCCACGGATGTTACTGTACCCTGGCTCCGGAGCACAGGGTCTGCCCAACTGGAATGTGATCCAAAGCAGAGAAATCACCCTGGTGCCTACAGGCAGCTTTCCCATGGTACGGTCCAGACATTTCATTACCCTGAGTCAGCTCAGAAAGTGTTTCTGATTATGCATGCAAGCAACTATTTTAATTAGCTACGGCTACAGTGTACTCTTACCTCTATGGGGATATAAAGCATGAATCCAGGTTCTCCTGTGTGAGTGATACTCATCACACGGATGCCATTAGCATAGCCCACGCTCATCTCCTACAGAATCAGAGGGGGTGAAATCATCCAAACTGGAACACAGCACAGAGATCCAGAAGGAGCACAATGCATAATGCAAACCACAATGGCCAGCCCTCTCCCCTTCCTCACTGCCATTCACCACTGGTGCATGCTTGCAAAGAATTTATATTTAAAAATTCCAACAGTGATGCCACATTATCCAGACTTCCTACCCACTTCGTGACACTTGGCAATAAGCCTTGGAACTAGGTCAGGACACAGGCTCGTATTTGAGATACAAGACAGAAGCTGAATAGCAGCTATCTGCTCAGATTTTTAACTTGACAGGAGACAACGACTCCCGAGTCACCGACCCCAGCTGCTCCTCTGACTGACAGCTTCATAACTGATTGTACAAAATATGCCAAGATATCTAATGGCACCAAGTCCACAGTGAGTGGAATATCGAAAACAAATGCATATTCACCTATATAATTAGCAAGCAGAACCCAAAGAGAATTAGTTAAAGTGAGCCTAGTGAGTACACTACCAACCTAGATCAGCAATTGCAGTATATCTATATGTAAATCTAAATTAACCTCTAACTACCCAAAACATAATTCCTTCTCTCCTCCTACACATGCTTTGAAAAACCTAACAGTGTGAGGAAGGAAGCACAGTCACTACCTTGCAAAAGAGAGATGGAAAATGTTCTGGAGTCATCGGGGCATATGACAACTCTGACAAGACATCCACAGCACGAGGGCCGATCAGATTGAGAGCTAAAGAGGGAAAGATAACAGTACTAGAATGAGACTGGAGGGGTCTTGCCCAGCGTCGTAACTTGCATTTATGCATGTCCTAGTTTCTAAAGTCTTAGTTATTATTGAAATGATAGGCATGTTTACATTTAGGAACAGAGGAAAGAGTCATTAAACTCTCTCTCCTGATAGCCCACAGGAAAGGAAAGCTGTCTCCCAACTCATGGCTTGCTAGAACAAAGTCTCTGAATTGCTGTTATATGCAACTGTCTGGCAAGGAGAGACAGCCACTGTTCTAGACACTTTAAACAATTAATTGGCATGCAGCAGAAAACACCATTTGGGATTCCAGGCTCTGCTTTCAGTGATTTCTCACCTGTGTACTTCCAGGTCACATCTTCCATGGTCAGGCTGCTGTCATCGGGCAAGCGGTTCTTCAGCCAGGCCCAGCAATGGACTTGTTGGTCAGTAGGGGAAATCATGAAGAAGCTGGAACAAATTGAAACCAAGAAACAATGAATGTACAACCACAGGATGATTCCGTTCGTTCTTCCTCCATGAGCTACTGAAGCCATTCAGCAGCTTCCAAGCTAACAGGAGACCAAAGCAAGCTGGTTTGTGAAAGCCACAGCTAAAGTCTCTGGATTGATGCCATCACATCTGTCATGATAAGAAACCCCAGCCTTCCAGCGTTAGCAGCAGTCTGGTGACAAGAAGTAACTAGAAGTGGCACACAGGCAGACCTACAGAAAGTTCACAGGGCATCTCCAAAGTCACAATCATTCTGCAGAAGGTATTCACAGCTCTTCATGACCAGTGATTCTGTCTACTCTGACATTCAGAAGAGTGCTCGGCTCACACAGCAACGTCTTGTTTCAGTAGAAGTCTTTTCACACACAATGGTGGCTATTATTAAGTTTCCAAAAAATAGAACTCCGCTTGATACGTGAAAATGAGCTACTTATTGTGTAAGTCTCTTTCATACAAAGTGCAAGTTAGAGTACATTATTGACAGAGATAACATCTGCAGTAATGACTAGGCAAGGCAGAAAGCTGCTGTTTTCACACAGAGAAGGACAATACTTCTAAGCAATACACGAATGCAGAACAGAAGAGAAAGAAAAGCTGTTTCTAATTGAAAGAGCAGCAAAGAAGAATGCTTTCACATCAACACAATGAAAGCATGGATAGAAAACAGTCCAGAGAAATAAAACCAACGCTCAGCTGGGACATGCCCGTGAAAGAGTTTGTTTCAAAATGAGAAGCTGTTTGGTTTATTTTAAGTGCCAAAGGGAACCCAAACTGCTGAGTCCAAGGACGAGATCTTGTGACCACATCAGTTCTCAAAAAAGAACCGTGGGGCATTACAGAGCTGAGAATTAGGGTGTCCACACTGCAACACAAGTTGCCATGAGCAAAACCCAGTATTTTCAGCACGGAATTCCAACAGAGAGATTGGCCAGGAGCCAATGGGGAACTGTTTGGTTTGCACTTTAAATGATGACCTAAATTAAGAAATTCTAATGGCTGCTGAAAACAATTTGTCTTTCAATTGAGAAACTAAACATCCGAAGGCCTAATATTTTGTACAAATCTCTGTGTATCTGTAGTTCCATAAAGAGGTGTGTTTTCCTCAATACTGGCAAATTCAGGAGCTCCTTCTCATTTGGGTTACTGAATTAGGAATATAAGTGGAGAATTGTGACTTTTCTTTACAGAGGGGGGAAAAACGTTCATGATCTTCATTAAGACGTTCTTAAAGTCTCTAATGCCCAAAGGATGACGGATGAAGATGCTGTCTGCATACCTACCTGCGTTTGCTCAACCGTGCTATGCTGCAGTCATTCTCATAACCTCCTTTCTCATTAAGCATGCCTGTATGCACAACATGCCCAACTGGCACATCCAGGTCATTTGAGAAGAGATACTGCAGACTCTCCAGGGCCTGGTCTCCTGTGGACTACAGGAATTGAGACAGAGAGAAAGTCAGAGAAGCAATACAAATCCGCTGGGGCAGTTTAAGATTGCATCAACGTCCTGGCCCAAATTCTTTCAATTTGTAATGATAGTGACTCTGATGTCTCCAGCGTGATAGGATGCAATGGTGACATAGTGCTGGAGGTCAAATTCTATTTATAGACTAAGCTGGTCTTTCTATAAATTGGGCTCCTGACAGACAAAAAGCAATCTATGCTAAATATTGTGGTACAACCTGAATTTGGTCGTACAGCTTGAGTTCCTCTCTCTGTCCTCAACAGGACACACAGAGTTTTGCAAAGGCAGTCAATAATAAACTAAAGACCACCTTTACCAGGCTGATGCCTTGTTACCTCCTAGGTACTTACACTTATTTCAAACTTGGTAAAAGATGACATGTCAATGACACAAACCGCCTCCTTACAGCACTTGACTTCGGAACCCACAATATCAAACCAGTCTGGTTTGTAAAAGGTTTTGCTCTGATCCAAATCCAGCAGATCTAACGTAAAGAAGAAACAAAACTGAATGAACTAAGAGCTCACATAGACTAATAGGGACGCACTAAGGCAGAGGAAAATACGACCTCACCTTTCCCAGGCGGGACAAAGTACTTGACTCTCTCAAATCCATGCTTCTCCATCCACCTAGCTCCCTGCGCATCCAGACGGTCGTACAGCGGTGAGGTACGCAGCTGCCTGCCAGTCAGGAAGTCCCAGCGAGGAACTTTCAGATCATACATGAGGGCTGCAATGGTCACAGAGATGCGTTACTAGGCAAAGCGATTATCTTCATCTAAAATCTTCTTCCAGATCATCAATACTTACTAATATCTGAACCATTAATAAAATTTCCTCAAAACAGCTCCGACCTTGCTTTTCTGTCTTTGAAAATGGACAAATCTGTTTTGGTCTGTTTATAGCTATTTAAAATCAGAGTAGCAATATTTGCACAGAACGCTTGTATTTATAGACACCTACGGCCTCACGACAATACTATCAAGATAACAAGAACTCTCTATTTTTCATGAAGTCATGTTGCCTAGCATTAATTATGCATGATTCTTCCCTAATGGCACATTATCTCATACACTTGTTTTGACAATACTAATGCTGGGGTAGGCAGCCCACAGCTACAAGGATCATCTAATTCACCTTCTTAAATATTGGCAGTTCAGCCTTTTCTAACTACTGAAGCTTTTCCAAATGGCTCCTATACCTTTTCAGCCAATACAGAATATTCTTATTTATAAACAAGTTACCCTAATAAAAGTTTAGCATCCTCCTTGGTTACCATTGGGGAGTAATAACTCAAGGAGTCCTAAACAATTCTTTATAAATGTTTTCACAAAGGTCATAAACAGTTTAAAATTGAAGAGAGGCCAAATATTTCTTACTGAATACTTCTATTGTTGTTGCCTCATAGCTAATGATTGAATGATTTTATTGGCATTAGCTGGTATTGGTACTCGTAAAGAGTGGGTAGAGGGAAGAATAGATTAGAATGGGAACGTAACATGACAGAAACCAAATACAATACTTATTTTGTAAAAACTAGAGTGATTCTGTGGCTATGAGAATTGAGATTTATATTGGAAAGCCACTGCAGAATAATGCCAAGAATATTAAAGTGGTTTTTCTGGGAGGAAGGTCAAAGCATGAGGTTTTTATTTCCTGGAAATAGCAAGGCTAAGAGGCTTACCCAACTTCTCTGCTTTGACCTGAACACATATTTTTAGTTTCGGCTTGTTATTCAAAGAATTGTTCATGTTTGCAACTTGTGAAGCACTTCATACTTCTATATGAAACCTGGAAAGAAGTTGTCCATGCTATCTCACAACACATAATCAAACAATAAGAGGAAACTGAGTATGGCTTTAGACAGGAACAATGACATCTGAAATGTATTCTGCAAGCTATTTATCACAAACTTTGACCAGAGAAAGCAGAATATGTCTCCAAGGACATCCTGAATGATGTAAGATAACTGGATCACATACTCCTAAGTTGGAAGTGACAGCATTTCCATAGTGACACGATGTGCAAAGAATATCAATATCTGAGACAGTGTAATGTTCCCAGTTAAGACCTTGGTATTGTTTTATTCGGCTGGAGTCCTACAATGACACACACAAACTTCCCTGTGCCAGAGGCAAAGCACAGAAATAGGAGAGAGCATGGTACCAACAGCATTTCTTGAAGAAAAGTTAATAAGAACACCACTAACACAAAAAACCCCAACCTTTCCTTTCTCCTGGGAAGAGGCTGTATTGCTGAAAAGGAGGCCAGGAAGGAGGAAAACGGTTTTCAGAGTGATGACATAGGAGAGACAGTGCAGCAAGAGCAAAGGGGAAAGTCTTGGACATTTTGGCAGCACTGAATGCAGAGACTTCACTTACGCATTACTTCCATCACACGGTGACGGAGGAAAGTGCGACTGCTCTGAAGGGTACCAAAACGTTTCAAATCCAGAGGCCAGACATTTTCTGATGGATACCCATTTACCATCCACTCTGCCAGGTACCTGATGGAAGAAGTAAAGAAAGATTGAGAGACCAGCCAATGTCTCAAGGAAAAGAGTCAGAAGCAAGGCAATCTGAACATGAGAATTTCTTGCAGTAGGGCAACAGAAAACAACTAACACGGTATTCTAAACACTAGCAGAATCTGGAAGGTTTCCCTCTATAAAACCCATCCACCAGATCTCAAAATTATTGATTTCCCCATAGAATGAAACATACAGGGCAGCAGGAAGTTAAGGACAGGTGGTAAATGAAGCCAGAGCCTGGAGAGAAAGCCTGGCTGGCTCTGTGTCAAGTCCTCGGGCTATGCTACAAAAGGAGGAGCCGAGTACGTTTAGGTTGGAGTTAGGAGGCTGACTGCTTTGTCATTTTTCAGTACCTGGTGTAGGCTCAGCCACAAACCATCAGTGACAGCATTCATTTCAGCACGAGGTGCCAGCCAAGTTATGTTTAGCTACACTTCTAGCAGTGAAGGAGGAAGGCATGCTCCAGAGCTAAAGGACAAAGGCAGCTCAGACCAAAGCAGAGCAGAAGGATCTGTTCACAGTCAGTAAACGGAAAAACAAAGGGGTTTGAGACTGATCATTAAAATTTACATTCGCAAGCTAAGCTGCTTATCTTCAGGCTGTAGCAACAAACAGACAAATAGTGCTTTTACCTTCAGAAATTAATTTTGATTCTTAGAGAACCTCACCACAAAGGTTCTCTATATTTTACATGACAAAGAAAAGGAATCATTAGTTGCTTCCCTGGTGAATTAAATTATTAGACAATAGACAGAAACTCGTGGAGACAAATGCAGATACTAACACCTGTCATGAGAAATGAGCAGCTTGTTAAGAAGGCTGTATGGCAGAAGGGGTGCTGGACTGCCAAAACCAAATGGCAATCAGAGGGAGTGATGATCTTTCTGCGAGCAACTTCACTGCTGGGATCACACTTAGATCCTTGTCAAAGTATGTGCATTGACACAGGAACTCGCTTTTACTGGGAAATTATTCCAGCCCTAGCACACTGGTAGAGGACAGTCTTTAAAAGTACTGCCATCATACATGTGGTGCTTCATCTGCACCCAGTTCATTCTGCTTTCAGAGAAATTAACTCTTGTGTCAACTTGAATGACCCAAGGACTTCAGCCAAATAATAAACTGAAGGGGGTCATGGAGTACAGAAGATGAGGCTATATCTGCTTTGCTAAGCTTTTATCTCTCCCTGGTAGGTAACAAAATCAAACCGGTTAGTTCTAAGGAAGCTTATTCGATCCCTTGCAGGCTGCTGATCGCTGAGATGTGATACCTGAGGAGAGGCGTGCACGACAGGAGGAGAGTCCAACACAGATTTGGAACACACACGGGAGAACATAATCAGAACATGGCAACTACTCCTCTCCTTGACTCAAGTTGGAAATGAAAAAGGAGTCTTTGTCAGAGAGGAAGTGACAAATACCAACCAGAACATTCTACAAAGAAGAACCATCTGAACAGTCTCTTTTCTTGGTTCAAATCTTACATACACAACAGTGATAAACCACTTACTTGCCTGCTCCCCCACCATATGAGATACCAGCTGAGTTCATGCCAGCCAGAACGAAGTAGCCCCGCACGGTGGGCGACTCTCCCATGATGCACCGCATATCTGGCGTGAAGGACTCGGGACAATTCACCAACTGCATGATCTGCAGAGCCTCCAAATCTGGCATCCTGCGCAGAAGGGCACTCAGCAGCGGCTCTAGGACACCAGACAAACAAAGACAAAGGGTCACAGCCCTCAGCCTCAAAGCATTTCAGCTACTTCACCTTCAAACTGGACAGCATGACAGAGGCACGCTGTTATCTGAACAGATGGAAACTGCTTCAACTTTTCAATACAGTCACAGGATCAACTGTTTACTGGCTGGAATCAAACTACTCGAAATAAAAGCAGCCATACTGATCCAGACCAAGAGCCCAGTGTTGTTCTTGACAGTGCAAGAGTACATTCAGTTTTGTTAGGAAAAGCAATAGGAACAGACATCAAATAGATGCCTAGCAAGGAACGAGAATAGGTAAATATGTATGACACTTGTCCCATGCACTCTGCCAGCCTCCACTTACCATCAGCTCAGAGGATTTCATAAAAACCTGGTATGTTTTCTCTACTTAGTAACCCCTAAACTGATTTCTCTTCTAAGTACTTGACCAGTCTTCCCCAAACTCATGAAAACCTCCTACAGACACTGACAAGGAGTCCTACATGCTTAGTATTTGTTGTATGAGGAACCACCTCCTTTTGTTTCGAAATTAACACTCAGTTAACCTTTTTTGATGCCTCCAGGTTGACATAATAGAAGAGACAGTGAACAGGAGATCCCCATCTATCCTGTCCATCTCATTCATAGACCTCTGTTTATTACCTGCCAGTCTTCTCTTTTTCCCAGCCCACTCAATCATTCCTTGCTTGGAAACCATTCCAAAGCTATGATCAGCCTCTTCCTGCTCTTTCATCAGGCCTTCTCCACTCATAGGACACCCTCTGGAGCTAGGGAGCATAGAACACCACCTAATGTCTGGGAAACCAAGGATTTAACGTTGCACAATGATTGTGTTTTCCGCTCCTCTCCTAACAATTCCTAACTTGCCTTTTGCTTTGACTGTTACAGAGCTGCTCTCTTCATAGAACTAATACAACCCCGGGGTCAGTTCAAAGCCCATCATTTTGCATGGTGAAAATAAGACCATCGCCACACATCCCCCTGCACTTGCGTCACTTCACATTTATCCTCATTGAATTCCCTTGCCACTTCATTGCCCAGTGATGCTGGAAAGGTCCTTTGGCAATTCTTCACAGTCTGACATTTGAGAGCATTAATAAAGGGATAAGCCATCTACTTTATTTTTATTGTCCAGAAGTTACCTCTGCATCGTACTCCAGATAAAAGCCCTCAAGATTCAGCACTAATAAAATTCCTCAGCTTTACACTCAAGCAGTAAAATAACAGTATTTCACATTACCTAAGAAGTTACAAACAAAACCAGCCTTCCTGACCTGCTCTTTTCCTTCCCTCTCTCATGCATTAGAATCCTGGAGTGACAGCCTGTAGTTACAGACTTTTTTTCCTTACTGATAAAAGAGGGATCAGTATTAGATTTGTTCTCGTATCCAGCCCAACATCTAAGCAACTGTACACGTTATTTTAAAATCAAAAGGTGATCCTATGAAAGAGATCAGCGCAGTAATGCAAGAGCTCAAACCACAGGAACTGCAGCCCTAGAAAAGGATCAAATAGTGGCTGAGTAAGCTCTGACTCTGCTCAACTGTTTGGTCTATCTGAACTGATAAAAGCGTCAGGCTGGAACACCACACGCAGTTGCTTCCAAACATGGGCAATCTGTGGGTGCCAGCAAGCAGCGCCTTTTCATTTCAGTAGTACCTAGAAAACCACAAAGGAAGTGGGTGCAGAGCTCGAGCAACTCATTAGCAAAGTTAGTATCTTCAAGCAAGTCTGTAGGCATCTACAGATCTAAAAACCTTTAGCATATGCCAGCACAAAACTGCACCCCATCCTGGCTCCACCCCCTGCAGTTTAACCTTTTTTAGTATCAATACGGTATTTCACAGAAATGGAAGGAAAAGGAACCAATTTAACCTGGGGAGCGGCTGGAAGAATACGCTACCAGTGCAGAAAGAAATCAGTGAAAGCCCATCTGTGCCTAGAGTCACAGGCAGAGGCACGTGCATTCACAAAGGGATACACAGAGCTCTGACACTAGGGAAAACTGGATCCCTGAAAAAGGGCAAATTTGAAGATCAGAGGGCACAGACAAACCTACCAGGCATAAAAGAGGGGGAAAAAAAGTAAAGAAAGGGACTCAGGTCAGGCCACGTTCCTTCTTACAGAAAGAGCCGTCCACGTGAAAGTACATGCAGAACATAAAAATAGAATCCAATAAAATGGACAGAGAAAGCCAGAACATTTGGAATATAATAAAGCACCACTGTCAATAGTGGGATGAAGTCTGGGAAGCAAGAGTACCAAGTTCTGTCCACAAAGCAACCGCCACCGATGGAAGTGCACTTGGCAGTCACTGCTGAAGAGCTGCAGAAACAAAACACCACGGCTGCGTGGCAGGTCAGCAGTGCTGATGTACAGCGTCACAGGAGCAGCAACATGTGGCACTGACAGTCAAAAATCAAATGAAATGGAAGAAGAGCGCTGGAAGGTTCATGCAGTACCTCATTGCACTAGAGGAAAATAATACGTCCTGAGGGGTTAGCGGGTGTTTTTAAACACTACACACGTATTGATGTAGTCCTTGGGGTTTTATGCAAATTACTGACAAATAAAGAGATGGATGAATTTGAGAGAACATTCATCTTTCCCACACCTTTCAGGTAAAGGCAGGCACAGGCTAGCTGGTCAACAGGAGGCAGCATTATTGCTCACTCAGCCTTCTGCTGAAGCCACGTGTTTCATTGCCGTGGGAATCTTTCCTCCCCAACGTACCAAAATGATCCCAGTCTTCCTGAAGGTGCTGAATCTCCAGCTGGTTCCGTCCCTCTGTGAAGAGAGGTTTGGGGTTTTTCTCAAAGCCTCCCGAGAGGATGCCACCTTGCCAGTTGCGTATGTAGATCCTGCCATCCGGGTCTACAATAGCTGCAGAGGAAAGAAAAGAGGTGGGAAGGGAATTGAGAGAAGGGGTGGCTGTCTCAGGCTGTTCCACAAATGCCAACGATGGGGTCTGATGGCAGGCTGGGCCAAGCTGACACGAGAAGAGACAATCTCAGTCCCCCAAGCCCAACCTTTCACACCATTTTTGAGCCAGTTTAGTTACTAAACCAGCACTAACTCCTTCACAACCATGCAGGTTAACTTTTGGGCAGCACAGTAGACCGAACTGAACCTGAAGAGCACCCAAGCCACCAGGACAGTGTTACCAGGAATGGGAGGACACAAGGGGGAATCAGATCCCCCGTGACACCTCTAAGAAATTATATTGGCTTAGTTCCACTGGAACTGCACCCAAGATCACCTCTTCCATCAGGAGATGTCCTGCCCTCCCCCTCTTTCTCCTGTATTAAGAACAGTTAATTTAAAGGGGATGTGTCATGATCCAGTCTGCTGCAGGCCACCAGCACAAGGAAGGTGGGCAGCACTGAGGTGCAGACCAGCAGTCAGGTCAGGATTGCTTCTTCCAGTGGTAGTGTCAACTTGAAGCATTTATCCTACTCCACTGGACATGTTTCACAGCAATTTTTTCCATGTACAGAAAACCTGTGAGTATATATCTCTCTATATATAGATAGCTATGTGTGAATACATATATTTTATTATTTTTTAAAATTACTCAGCCACATAAAAGCAAAGAACTCAAGAGACTCTGGTCAGAAAGACAAATTCTTTGGAGAGTATATATACATTGCTCACTAAAAGCAGAAACTCTTGCTAAAGGCTGAGAGTAAATAAGCAAAGCTTTCTACTTCCCAACCACAGTTTTCAAACACAAGGGCTTTTCTTTCAGAGATCCAAAAGCCAGAACAGGAGGGAGGAGCAATTACCTCTAGTGCTTTGGTTGCCCCTACAGCTCATAGACATGTAAATGCCATTGTAAAGCCTTAGCTTCAGTTGGAGGAAAGGAATAGATGGGCCATTTGGGGACAGCAGCCTGCAAGGAAACACATAGTGCCAAGGCTAGCACCCTCTCCAGCCCACAGGTGCAGCAAGCCAAGTCTCAGACACACCGACTAGTCAAGGGCATTCTGCTGTTTGTCGACTGACAAACTCTAAAAATCAATTTCTGCAGCAGAAGTTTTCCCAAGAGTAAGGAAAAAGATTCTTTCTACCACTGAAAGAGGATATTCAGAGCAATTCAGCTCGAATGTACCTCACAATCCCAAATGAGCTGAGAACCGATAGCCCTCAGTTGGCCTTCATGTCACAAACCATGCGCTGCCTTGGAAAGGAAGATAAAATTGACCAAGAAAAGTGAGGTAGAGCTGGGGAATCCTTACTTGGTAAGTCGCTTGCCAGAGGTTCCTTCAAAGGATGTGTCAGGAGGTAGAAGTGCTCACAGGCATGGAGTGGGATATTGACTGGTTCCTCCCCAGAGTGGCCCAACTCATAGGCCCACTGAAATAAAAAAGTGCATGTTAGAATCCAAAAGGAGAAAATTAACTCAATAAGAAAAGGCAGGACAAAAGCACAGATCCCCTCTGTGGGTTTGCTTTCATAGCAGGCCAAATAAGATTTGGTTTAGTCCCCTAAATGTTAAACAGACACTCTTTTTTTTTTCTCTTTGCTTAGAATTTGAACTGCTCAGGACAAAGACTGTTGTTCTGTTTCTCATAGAAGATCCAGAAAAGTGGGGCCCCGATTCAGGACTAAGTATTAACTTAAAATATGAAAGCAAAATAAGGTCTGAACACCAAAGTCAACACTAGGCGCAGCCTCAAAAAGCAGAACAGTCAGGATTTATGTGCCTGTGCTGCTGCGACCCCATAAGACAGCCAGCTGCAAGCTGAGAGACAGCAACTGTCAGATGTATTTTCAGACAGAAGACATGACACTAACAAAAACAACAAAAAAGGTACTTTCAGTGCGCGTGTGAGAGACAGAGAGAAGAGTACAGAGAGACGTAACTGTCTCACTAAGAGCCAAAGCAAAATTCTTCCTGTCAGAAGGGTGCAGCCCTCACGACACAAACCACAGGCAAAGCTGCACCAACAAGCTGCAGGGTGCTCCTCAGCAGGTTAACATCCAGCCTTTGGTGCCAAGCAAATAGCACACCCCTGTTCATCTCCAAAGCCGAACAACATGACTTTGATCTACTCCAGTAAACCAAGCCAAAGCACAAACCATAAAAAAAAGAAGAAAAAAACCCCAAAACCTTGAGGAAATTGCATGTGTTCTTAACCAAAGAAAGAAAAAGAAAGAAAAATGTTAATGATTCAACCTGGCCAGCACAGTTGACAAAGTACTGGCATTGAATGTGTCCTCTGTCGGTCTCGACTCCAGTCACACGACCCTTCTGGACTGAGACATGACTGACGCTCGTCCGTTCGTGAATCTGGACACCTGAAGAGGACATCAGAAAGTCAGTACATCACAAGCCTTCTTTCTAATGTGCCAGGCTGCTAACATTAAACCCCTAAACTCAACCTAAGACAACATTTCTGTGCTTGGCCCAATAATTTTTACGTGAAACCCTGTTATCTGTAAAACGTCATGTGAACAATGTGTACATCAAGTAAAGGCTGAGGCTGTGAAGAGTGGCAGTACTCTTTCCTGATGTGGCTATCTGGGTGATAAATACATCCTAGTATCAATGTGAAAAAAGTCTCAGCTAAGGATTTCACAGAATCTCAGGAGTTGGAAGGGACCTCCAAAGCTCATCCAGTCCAATCCCCCTGCTGGAGCAGGAACACCCAGATGAGGTTGCACAGGAAGGCGTCCAGGCGGGTTTTGAATGTCTGCAGAGAAGGAGACTCCACAACCTCTCTGGGCAGCCTGGGCCATTCTCTGGCACCCTCACACTGACAAAGTTTTTCCTTATGTTCGCACAGAACTTCCTATGCTCCAACCTCCTATGCTTTCCATTACAATTCCTTTATACAACAAAGTCTGCGGTTTCAGAGAGCAAGTCTGGTTCTTTTATGGGAAATCAATAATTTTGTAAAACAATCAATTAACATTATGCAAAAAAAACCAACCTGCACTAAACAAAACTAAGAGAGGTATCTTCCTAAGTAGCTTCTTCCAACCTGATGGATTTTCATCCTTAATGAGCTTCATCTCTTATCATATCTAACCCTTCTCCCACATTGAGACCACCCCAAATTTGCCAAAGTGCTGGGCAAACAGCATTTATTACTACACTCCCAAGCCCATTTCCAAAGCATATGTGCCCAGTGAAATATTTCACAAGGACTGTCACACACAGTTTCATTTGTAAGTAATTAAAACTCTATGGATGTGTAATTTTAAGTCAGTTCCTACAAAGGATTGTTTCTATGATAAAAGAGTGTGTGTGCTTATTCAGAGAAAGATATAACCAGTAAGGATGACAAGCTGGTGCTCGATCTATCACAGCAGGTCTGTAAAGATTCAGTATGTTAAAAATAGCCTGCTGTTTTGAGAAACAAGCATCTGAACCTGACAGAAATAACCAAGTTTTGGTCCTCAGTGCTCTGCTAGAGAACCAAAAGAGATGCAGAACATAATTTTCTTTCCTGGAAAGAAGCTGACTATCATGCAGAAGAGCACTCTATAGATAAAAAACCCTCGTACCGTTCCGTGAGGCAGCGGTCGCCAGAGCCAGACTCACATTGGCAGATGACACGAGTGCATCTTCTGGCACATACATGGCCCCCACAAGGTCATGGATGTTGATCAGTGGGTGGAGCTGTGCCACTTGCTTTGGGGTGATAATTTCACAAGGTATTCCCATTACACTGCCACAGAAGACAAGAAAAACGCCATCATTAGTCTTGCAGGAGAGCTGGGGCAGACTTGAGATCAGTTGTATTTCCTGCTCATACGTACTTCAGTGATGAAGCAATGCGTTTCAGAGAGATTAGTCGGTCCTGAGTCTGAGCCAGTGAAATAGAGCCTGTCTTCACGTACCCTATGACAATGACCAAACTCAAGTCAGATTTGGACAGGATCTTGAATTCCTTTAAATCTCAGACCCATTGCTTTAATTTAATTGCAGACCCATTGCTTCCACTACTCAGGAGCCTGGAAATCCCAGATTCCCCAGATAACTTTAAACGCTTATCAGCTAGTAATTACAAACTGCATCGGTCAGCTTATCAAAAAGGAAACGTAATTCTGACTTGTGTTCTCTTTCTACTACATTTACTCATGTTTAAATAAAAAAATTAAACTTCACACATGGTACCTATTAAAAGAGAGACAGGTTACTGGCAAAAAAAAGTGGAAACGTGATCCAATAACTACTTAGAAGAATAAAACCTCAACAACTAAATGCAGTTACTTTGTGACTCTACCACCTGCAATGGATTAATATGAATCTTATTTACAAGCACAGTCATTAACCTCTGTCGTGCCCAAGATAATTCAACAAGTCCTCGTCAACAGAAAACCTTCAGTGACCAAGTTCTTCCTACCAAGTGCCTGCAGGAGCATTTTAGAGGGAGAGGAAGAATTTCAGCACAACTTTTTCTTGTTATTTCCAGGTGAGACTAGAGTACGCTATCTTGCTTTGCCTATGTTTAGTGCTCCTGTTAACCTTCTCTTTTTGAGAGGTGAATTGGTGCTGAAAATGGGCCATTTGTTTCAGTCACTGCAAAACACTTCGGTGTCCTTGTGGAACTTCACCTCCATTTGCCCAAGTTTCAGAAAACATAAAATGATCCCAGTCTGCAGGTGTTCTGCCTTCATTTGGCCCATCTCATACCCTTCTTCCCACTCTTCCGGTTACGTTAGGAACATCCCTTTGCACCTGATTCAGTCCAAAGATGTAATTTTTGAACAGGAACTACCACCTCTTAAGACATTGTAAAAGTACATCCATATTTCAGCGTCAATACCTTGGTTCAGCTTCCCAAAGACTACTCAATGATGACACTTTTAGTACCTGTTTGGACTCCCGTCTCTTGTTCCAGCTGCTGGTAGAGCTTGTTGGAATAGTCTGCCATCTTCAGCTCGATGGACACGTGCCTGGCTGTGCTCACGACGCCAGCACAGAAGCGAGTGGTACCAGCAGCCAACCTGCAGGAGAAGTGGCACAGAAGGCCTCATGCGGCGAGGAGAGGTGAGCCCCCCTTGCCAGGCGGCTCCAGCGGCTCTGCTGGCAGCACAGACCAGGCAGCAACCTCTCCCCCCAGCACATCAGACCAAAAGCTGTAAGGTGGATGGTGCAGGAATAATGCAACCTCTGGAATACTTTTCCTTTAGCTCACTTTTGAGAATGCATTGTATTCCAAACCCATTCCTCTTTACCTAGCTCTAAACACTGAAATTCTTCAACAAAAGCACTTGAATAAAACTACCTTATGCTCAAGACAACTTGCCTACCTGATTCTTTATTTCTCCAAAGCAGGATTTACCTCAAATGAAAATTAACTCAGGATCTGAAGCTTGCATCTTTGCAGTTTGTAGCAAGAACAAGCTGCTCTTCCTGTGCAGCAACTGCCACAGACAGGTACACATATTCCTTGTCCCTTTTTAAACTGCCCTTAAGCCACTGTCCATCTAGCTACCTGGTGGAGACAGAGATATTAAATCTCCCTGCAGCATGGACAGGTGAAGACAAGACAATTAGATGTAAGCATTTCTCTCACAACGTGCTTCCACAACACTTCTAAGTCATCTTTCCTGCTGCTCAACGAATTCTGCGTTTTTCTAGCTGCCTTTGCAAGCTTTTGACAAGAGGGCTTTTGGCCTAGCATGGCCACATCCTCTCAGAAATTCAACCTAAAAATCAGGTGAGTCGGGTATCCTTTTTGCTACGCCACAACCGGAACAGCTGAAGCACGGTCTCACCATGCTACGCTTCACATAAGACATTTCTGCTAATACAACACAGTGCCTTTTCCTTGAGCTCAGATTGAGCTTGTACAGCATCTAACTTAACAGAGATCTGTAACAGGGTATTCAGACCCCACTCCAGACCAGTAAAAATTACATTCCCTTACAAATGAAGGCCAGCAGCTAATTCCACTCAAAGGACACAGCTCACAAGGTCCCAGATGAGATTATCCAGTTTCCTCTCTTTGCAGCTACAAAGAACTTCGCAGGATCTGCTTCCCAGGCAATAAACGCTTCTCGAAACCCCTGAAGTCTTAGCACTGCCTCATGCCCAAGGTTCCCAAATTGCTCACTGAAAACACCACAAATCCACCTCCAAAGCAGAAATCTAAACAGGTACAGGCTGCACAGTCACCTTTCAACAGGATCTATGTACTTTGTCACGGACTGCAGATCTAATTCACCGGGCAGCGCACAAAGGTTTGTATTCAGCCAAACAGCAATGGCCAGAGCTGTTACTACAGCCAGCCACTAAACCATGCAAAAGTTTAGTGTTAACAGTGCTAAACCGTTAAGTTTCGTTAAAGTGGGTAAGCTGAGCCTTTAACCAGCTTACAGGGTGATGTTTTAGTGATGTCTGCTTATAACCTCCACACCTCCCACAGTCTCTTTTGAGCTCTGCTAGCGGTGCAATATTTTATGTATGTATCGCATCCTACTTCTAGAGAGAATCAATAGGGGCCGGATGATTTACACAGATTTTTAGTTCAATTAAGATAGTTCATCTTTGTAGCCGCGTTGTGTTTTAAATGACCTCCTGTGACTACACTGGAGCAGATGGGTCTCTCCCAAAGGAACTGTGGTCCGTGGAAAACCCACGCCAAGGGAGAGTTCTCCTGACAGGAGCTGCAGCCTGCAGAGGAGCTGCACTGGAGCTCAGTCCCATACCCCCACCACTCACCCCTGCACTTCTTGAGGCAGAGTGGGGGGGACATGACCCTGGAGTACAGGAGTGAAGTAGTTGAGCATGGGAAAGGAAAGGTGGTGTTATAATGGTTGGCATCTGTCTCTCACTATCTGAATCTATTTTAACTGGCATGAAATTAAGTAATTCTTTAACTATTTAGAATTAGTTCTCTCTAAGGCAAGTCTGGTTTGCCCACAGCAGTAACTGGTAACCAATCTCCATGTCTTTATCTCGATCCACGAGCTTTCTCAGCCTACTTTCTCCCCATTCTGCTGAGGAGGGAAAGTGAGTGGCTGTGTGGGAGTCTGGCCCTTAACCAAGGCTCAGCCACCACAGCCACACAAGGGACACCCTTCACTTTGCAGATCTGCTCCGTGCTGGCAAGAAGTAGTAAGTGTTCTTCAGAATAAGAATATTCTGTGAGTCCAAGTTTAGGCACAGAGGTGGAAATAACACATCCCAGCATGCGCTGCTACACACGGCAGTCTTACTTCTTTGGTTTTACCAGAAATCCTTACCTGCCCTGCTCAAGTAAGACTATATCCTTCCAACCCATCTTGGAAAGGTGATACGCCACGGAGGTGCCCATGATTCCACCACCGCAGATGACGACCTGCGCCTGTGCTGGTAAGGAAAGCGGGTGAGGTTCTGCTGTACTTGAGGTACGTCGCCGGGAGCAGGTCATTCTTCTCCATTTTGGGTTAGTTGCCCCCCACCGGACATCTGACAGTAATCGGAGAAACATCCCGGCAGCTAGTTGTCAGTGTTCTTAAAGCACCACCTAGATGTGTTCAGGTGTTACCTCACAACCACTCCTTCTAGGAAGGAAGAGACGAGAATCACGTTACCACTTCTGACACACAGGGCTGGCAGCGGTGAACACCACATGGTGTGCTGGGTACAAGCGGACAGAGGAAAGCTGACGAGTAAACAAACAGGAGAGCAGCTCCTCTGTCCTGAAACCACAGACTCACTAGTAAGATTTAAACTCAGATCATACAATGGGTACAGAGCATTGCTCCTCTGTTTCTCACGCCAGCATAACTTGACAAGGAGCAAAGAACCAAACAAAAGCTGGAGAAGAACGGCAAGAACGCCCTCACAACAGCGGGCAGAGGAAGCCAGCAGGCACAGAACGTGCTCTGCAATCTGTCATAAAGACTGAGGTTAAGAGGGCACAAATAGTCTTGGTTATTGTCAGGCCTTGACCTGAGGAAGGAAATAAAGCCTGTGACCAGAGTCACTGCGACAAGGAACCAGAGACACGCTCTCCGACAACGCCAGTTTTACCACTGGGTGCTACCCGGGACCCCTGACTGTGGTACCAGCACACAGCGGCTCAGCCCAGTGAGCGAAGCCGGCATTCAACA